ATGCTTTGGGTGAATTCTAAGGCAGCATCACATGTATGCTTTAAGGATAAGGTAACCCCAGAATGCACTGCAACAGTTCAGTTCAGTGAAAAAAGTCGAGTGAAACATTAACTATAAATATACTTGGAAGCACCATACAGTGACCATAAATGCGGTCCATACTTCTGTGCCAAGACTTCTGCATCCATAAAGTATCTTCAAGGAAATTTCAGTCTGTTCTTCATGCAAAACTTGGAATATAGAGCATTATTATGTTGTTACTGTTACCTAAACTAAAACATTCTGTTAACATTAAAACAAAATTGAAATAAAGTATAAACATTAGATTAAACACTAAAAATAATTTTCAGTTGTCAAGGCAATATTTCAAATTTTAAGTTGAAGTACTAAAATGACTAAAATAAAAATTAAGCTAAATAGAAATGTTAATAAGCAAAAAACTAGAAAAAAGAAAGAGAGCACATAACAAAATCACTAAAAACCTAAACTAAAATGAAACCTGAAAATATAAAATAAAACCTAATTCAAAACATGAACAATTACTAAAATAAAGTATAAATAATATAATAATATTCATATAAATACTAAAACACTAAATACTAAAATAAAACTGCACATGAATCCTATGGACTTGCCCTTTTGTGTTGCATGAAAGAAATCATGTTAAACAGGTTTGAAACACCATTAGGGAGAATGAGTGACAGAATGTTCATTTTTGGGTGAACTATCCCTTTAACAGTCAGCAGCGCATCATAAAGCTGCATAAAGACTCCTCACTAAAAAGGTGATTATGCCAGTCAAATCAGTCAAAGTTCCAGAGATGATCAAGGAGGAAACTCACAAAGCTCTCGTTTAGTTCTCCTCCTTTTCAAAAGGCATCTTAGAATGATCGTTCTGTGCATTATGCAAGAGATCAAAAGAATCTTAGTGTTTGAAGAGAGAAAAATAAGGTCATGTATCAGCATAACATAAACTTTCTGTAATATGTTAGCTAGAAGTTACTGTGTTTTATTGTAATATTCTAGTGTAATATTTTATAATTATAACCTGGACTTTAGAAGGCCTGCATTATGTTATTCTGCAACCATGCACAGCATTGACAGCATCATGACACAAAAATAACTTAATGCTGCCTTCTATAGAGATCATGCTTTGGGTGAATTCTAAGGCAGCATCACATGTATGCTTTAAGGATAAGGTAACCCCAGAATGCACTGCAACAGTTCAGTTCAGTGAAAAAAGTCGAGTGAAACATTAACTATAAATATACTTATTTCCTTAAGTACTGAAACGTATTGATAAAAATCCTTTTTAACCAAACTACCAAATTAAATATTCAAGGTCAATAAGTTAATATTCAGTGCAATTACACATTGAATTGCTATTCTGTGTGTACATATACTGTAAGTGGTTTGTGACAAATTGAAGTGGTTCTGAAAACACTTGTTTGAAAGTTTAACACTTAACAGCACCCAGAACAGATGGATCCCATGATCTGTGTGGCCCAGCATCCTCCTACTAAAAGTAATTGCAAAAATGTCTGGGAAAAGTTTGTTTTGAGCTTTAGCATAATTTCTTTTCTAATGCCACTTCTTTTTGTTATCTAATGCTATGACATTCATACATTTTTAAGTGTGACTAAAGTGTCCAAATAGTATTTGGGGCCACTGCATGCACAAAATCCACAAAGTTGCAGTGATTTGTTCTCTTCCCGCCATTTATAATGAATGGCAGGCTGTCTTTCCTAATAGGCTATCTGTTTTAACGAGTTCAGCTCCTCAGGAAGCAAACATGCAAAAAGAACACAGTACTGCGCCCTGTCCCCGATACCGCAAGTGCAGTCTTGGTTAAAAGCTCACTTTGCTTAAGCAAACATGCCACTTTTGCCTGTATTGGGAGGCAAAACTGGAACAGTTTTCCACTGTATTATTCATTTTTCCTTTCATCTATCTACAGGGCAATATATAGAAAAGCTTACGCCTGCTAGAATCGCTTATGAAATAGAATCGCTTTGGGTGCAAAGTTGTTTAGGCCGTGTTGTCAGAGGGTACCATGGTGCTTATAATGTGAAATCACACGTGTAACGCCATGATTAGTTTATACTGTATCATTTTAATTCTCGCTTTGTACCTTTTTTGCATTCGCATTTGCACATCACAGTTAATAGAGTGACATATTACTGACTAACTGTCTCTAAAGTATCCTGGATATCATCCAGATTGCCAGCATATTGCAGATGTGATATCTTGAGTGCACACTTGAGTGCACACACACACACACACACACAGAGACACTGTGAATGTCACTAAGAACAGTAATGTTTACACATACAGAAACTAATTAAGTATTCTAGTTGAAAGGTCCCTTTCATATCGAGAATATTGCATCAAAGGTCATATATAAATGTGACATGCTTGATGTTGTGTTCTCTAGACTCGGTTGGGAATTTTACTGTTTTGCACATCCAGTTTTCTGTTCCTTACCACATAACCATTCGCTTTTTTATTTACTTGTTTTGTATTTATATAGTTATTTTAAATGTTTATTTAAATTTATTTTTTTTACATTTGCGTTGTGGGAATGAAGAGTGAATTAATTCAAGATAAGGAATTGGAACAGTTGAATGGATTTTTATTTCTTCTTGTCTTCCCAAGAGTGAAGTTATTGTCCTTCACTGTGAAGTTATAAGTTACTGTCCAATATTCTGAGATTTAGGGGCTCGTATTCAAAATCTTATCACATAAATGAACATTTTATCTCTTCTGAATGTTACTGACTGCAGCTCCAATGTGCAAAAACATGAATCTCTTGGCATGCTGAAGAGTAACCACTGGCACACAAGCAAAAACAGAGAGAGAAATATTGTGTGATTGTAATTTTACTCAGTAGCTTATTTTAGAAACGTTAACACCTGCCAAGAGGCAAATGCAAGTATAAACAGGCTATGACAAGTAAATAAAACATTGCATGATGTAATTTGAATTGTAACAATGATAATCGGACCCTTTCTGAAATAAGTGATATGCTTGATTCAAAATCAAGATTAATATCATGAAATCCAGCTAGTTACTTATATCTAAGACGCTCTGAAGTTAGTGTAGCTTTATGTTTACTGTATCATCAGACTGGTAAATGCCCACATTCTTAACAGTTTACAACACGATTCTCATATTACAGTTCTGTGCCTGCAGCAGTTGATTTCAGGTCTTTCCAGGAATATCTGATTGTTGTGTTGCATTAGATTGTGCAGAAGTCTTTATAGTCTGCTCTATTCCATTTCAGACTGATAGCTCTAATCATTGGAGAATTTACGTATGGTTGATATCCAGAGCTATTTATGTATATGAAATAAAGCAGAAACATATTCCCGTATATATCTCAGATACTATGCGATGTCTAGTGCTTTTGATGAATTTATGCTCTCTTATGCATTTTGTAGTTTCATCTCCCCGGTGCCAAGTTTATTTTTATTTGAAAATATGGTTTGATGTTGTGATGTTACATTCATTTGCATTTCCACTCATTTCCTGTATGGCTTAATCCCTGAGTGTTTTTAGCACGTCTTTCCAATAAAGATTTCTTGCCTGGTATTTTTTGTCACTAATACAATTTTTTTTTAAGTTGCAACCTGGGTGATCTCAGACAAAAAATCCAAAAGGAATGTGTCCAAGAGGATTCTCTTTGGTATCATAATTTGGAACCAACCCTACTGGGAACTGTGTTCTTAAAAGACCAAGTTTTTTATTTGATGCAAAACACAAATACACTATCCTATAAGAAGCCAAAAATCGGATTCAGTTTATCCAGTGAATTCCCGTTAGGATCCTTCAGGATTATAATAGAAAGTCTGCTAGGAAACTTGTAGACATTCCTTTTTTTGGGGGGGACCTCACACAAACATGTTTCTTTCTCTCTTTGTTTTTCTTGAGGGAGTCTCACCTGTCACATAATTGATGTGATAGAGCTGTTGTTGACTAACAATGAGCCGAGGGGAGTGCCGTCACTGCGGCTCTGACCGCGAACCGGTCTCTCATACTGATCAGCCACCTTTCTTTACGGCACTGGGAGCGAGAGCTACACTGCTACTGTAGATCTCTATAGAAGAATAAAACAATAGGAGGGAAAGCAAGCAGCAGATATGAAAGAAAATGACACTCAGACAATGGCTGCTCTGTTCAAAAGGCAATTGTTTTTTTCCAAGAGCTGCACATTAATACCATTATATCAGAGTTAATGAAATGACTCATCATTGTTTCTCCTCTCAAGATTTTTTTTTTTTCTTTTACATTCTATTCAGACCTTTGCTAGCATCTGGAATGTTTAATCTGTTACTGGCTTTGTTGGAGAGTTTAGTTTTAAATTAAATTAAATTGACTAATCACAGCAGGATTGCTGGCTGTTGTTCAATTTTAAAGAAATGCCTCAGGTTCAATCAAGTTAAGCTTGATGTATGTCTTTTACAAACTGCGGGGTGAGTCTAAATAAATTTCTGTGATATCAGCAACAGGCCACATTGTCTGAATGAACCTGGAACATTCCATTAACCATAATGAACTATGATTAATGAGAAAGGTTTGAGGAAAGTGTCTGTGAACAGTGTTATTATTGAAACACCAAAATGGCAATGGAATTTTCCCATTCTCAACACTTTTAACACATTATAATCATTACAAACATTCTATTGTGGCACTTAATCTAACCCTTAACAGTATGTATTGTACAGTATGTTTAGTATCTTATTGCAAGTACTGCTTTTTGCCGATTCTGTGGTTATATAGATCATGTAACACAAGTGACTGATACAGTCAACAACTCATCATATTCTAGGGATGTGGTTAAAAACCAATCCCAGTTAACCAGTCGCCTTATTATTCCTATGGGGAAAATGAGATATTAAAAGAGATGTGGTTCCTTTTAGAAAGGAAACCGTGATCTGTGGGGTACAGAAGTATAATTTAGATGTTTTTCCTTCCTCACCTTCAATTCTTTGTCTCTTGCAGTGAATCTGTCTGTGCTAACGGCAGCATGCAGCAGTCACTATGGAAATGCCATTGAGGAGTTCTGCCTGGCCAAGTTCAAGCTGGACATGGAGGTTCTCGATCAGCGCCAGTGGTGCAGCTGGGAGGACACAGTTGAGTGAGTGATAAACATGCCACTTGTAGACTTCATTATATCATCGGTAATTCTTGATTCTGATTAGCTGACACATGCTCCAAGGACATTAATTTGTATCAAAGTATGTTCATTGTCATTTTCTCTCCTGCGTGGTTGGAGAGGAAACGGAATAGAGTGATAGCGATCCTAGAGCCACAGTGCAGAACGTCTATATTTTATAACTTTGTATTTATCAAAGAATCATGAAAAATGTGTCACGGTTTCCACAGAAATATTAAGCAGCACAGCTGTTTTCAATTGTGATAATAAGAAATGTCATCACAGGATTGAATTACATTTTAAAATGTATTAAAACAGAAAACAGTTATTTCACAATATTACAGTTTTTACTGTATTTTTGATTAAATAAACATTAAAAGACACATTGAAAAATCTTACTGACCTGAAACTTCCCCTACACTTTTCATATCGCACACATTGTTTGGTTAAGCACTCATTCGTCAACTTTTGTTCAGTGCAGTCCTACCTGGCAGCTGACACGCCTGCATGTTTATTTGAACACTTCATGACAAGGTCAGTGAAGAGCAGAGTTTCTCAGTCAGAGAGATGACAGGGTTTCCCATATTATCACATACTTCAGAGGGATTTAGTGGGCCGTGTGGCACAGCTCCAGGCATTCACCGTTCCTGGGAATGCCTCAATATGCCCAGCTGTCTCTGTGACATAATGGAGGAGGTTATTCGTGGTGCCCCAGAAAACACATGATATGGAAGAACTTTCACATTTCCATGTTAATAAGAAGAACTGTCTTGTCTTTACTTTTGTGCCCTTGACAACTGACCCTAAGAAACTCTGCCACTCTGACATTAAACAGAAGTCGTTGGACTCCAGTGCAACATTCGAGAAAGAGACAGTCGAGAAAAGTGACACTGGATGTCTAAACTGTCGGATCGGGGCCAGCAAGGTCTGCCAGTCCCTGTCATCAGCAATCCAGGCACTTTTTGTCCCCTGCCCCCTACAACTCGTATCTATTGTAGCTCGTGACAAGGTGCAAAATGCTAAATGTGTTTTACGGTACTAGAAATCATAGTACTTAAAGTGATAGTACACTCAAAATTGAAACATTTTCCATCCTTTAGCAACCCTCACGTTGTTCCAAATCGGTATGACTGCCGTTCCTCTGTGGAACATAAAATATATTTTGAAAATGTGTGTGTGTGTGTCTGTCTGTGTGTCTGTGTCTGTGTGTGTGTGTGTAAACACCAAAATGGCAATGGAATTTTCCCATTCTCAACACTTTTAACACATTATAATCATTACAAACATTCTATTGTGGCACTTAATCTAACCCTTAACAGTATGTATTGTACAGTATGTTTAGTATCTTATTGCAAGTACTGCTTTTTGCCGATTCTGTGGTTATATAGATCATGTAACACAAGTGACTGATACAGTCAACAACTCATCATATTCTAGGGATGTGGTTAAAAACCAATCCCAGTTAACCAGTCGCCTTATTATTCCTATGGGGAAAATGAGATATTAAAAGAGATGTGGTTCCTTTTAGAAAGGAAACCGTGATCTGTGGGGTACAGAAGTATAATTTAGATGTTTTTCCTTCCTCACCTTCAATTCTTTGTCTCTTGCAGTGAATCTGTCTGTGCTAACGGCAGCATGCAGCAGTCACTATGGAAATGCCATTGAGGAGTTCTGCCTGGCCAAGTTCAAGCTGGACATGGAGGTTCTCGATCAGCGCCAGTGGTGCAGCTGGGAGGACACAGTTGAGTGAGTGATAAACATGCCACTTGTAGACTTCATTATATCATCGGTAATTCTTGATTCTGATTAGCTGACACATGCTCCAAGGACATTAATTTGTATCAAAGTATGTTCATTGTCATTTTCTCTCCTGCGTGGTTGGAGAGGAAACGGAATAGAGTGATAGCGATCCTAGAGCCACAGTGCAGAACGTCTATATTTTATAACTTTGTATTTATCAAAGAATCATGAAAAATGTGTCACGGTTTCCACAGAAATATTAAGCAGCACAGCTGTTTTCAATTGTGATAATAAGAAATGTCATCACAGGATTGAATTACATTTTAAAATGTATTAAAACAGAAAACAGTTATTTCACAATATTACAGTTTTTACTGTATTTTTGATTAAATAAACATTAAAAGACACATTGAAAAATCTTACTGACCTGAAACTTCCCCTACACTTTTCATATCGCACACATTGTTTGGTTAAGCACTCATTCGTCAACTTTTGTTCAGTGCAGTCCTACCTGGCAGCTGACACGCCTGCATGTTTATTTGAACACTTCATGACAAGGTCAGTGAAGAGCAGAGTTTCTCAGTCAGAGAGATGACAGGGTTTCCCATATTATCACATACTTCAGAGGGATTTAGTGGGCCGTGTGGCACAGCTCCAGGCATTCACCGTTCCTGGGAATGCCTCAATATGCCCAGCTGTCTCTGTGACATAATGGAGGAGGTTATTCGTGGTGCCCCAGAAAACACATGATATGGAAGAACTTTCACATTTCCATGTTAATAAGAAGAACTGTCTTGTCTTTACTTTTGTGCCCTTGACAACTGACCCTAAGAAACTCTGCCACTCTGACATTAAACAGAAGTCGTTGGACTCCAGTGCAACATTCGAGAAAGAGACAGTCGAGAAAAGTGACACTGGATGTCTAAACTGTCGGATCGGGGCCAGCAAGGTCTGCCAGTCCCTGTCATCAGCAATCCAGGCACTTTTTGTCCCCTGCCCCCTACAACTCGTATCTATTGTAGCTCGTGACAAGGTGCAAAATGCTAAATGTGTTTTACGGTACTAGAAATCATAGTACTTAAAGTGATAGTACACTCAAAATTGAAACATTTTCCATCCTTTAGCAACCCTCACGTTGTTCCAAATCGGTATGACTGCCGTTCCTCTGTGGAACATAAAATATATTTTGAAAATGTGTGTGTGTGTGTCTGTCTGTGTGTCTGTGTCTGTGTGTGTGTGTGTTTTTCAGATATATGTGTGCTTCACAGAAGAAAGCCATACAGGTTTGGAACGACATGAAGATGATTAAATGATGACATTTACATAACTGTTCTCAATTTTTTAAATTATTATTATTTTAAAAAAAAACGTTACGATGAGGCACTTATAATGGAAGTGAATGGGGGCCAGTTACTGAAGGATTTAAAAGCACAAGACATTTGAAGCTTATAATTTTATAAAAGCACTTGCATTAATTATTTTGTTAAAATATGTGTATTATTTGAGGGGTAAGGCTGTTTAAATAATTTTTTATAAAACATTTTTCCAGGCATTTTAGTGTTTAAGGCATTTCATTGTCATTGCGACATTGCCATGGCGACATAGTTCTAAAATTAGATGTAACTTGACACAGAAAAGGTTATATATGATTTTTCACACAAAAATCTAACACATATTGTTTGTCTATTGACTATTTTAACTTTACATTCACTTCCATTGGAAGTTCTTCACTGTAACCCAGATTTTTGCTTCTCTCAGGTGGAATGATTATCTTAGCAAAATGCTCTCGGTGTTCATTAACAAAATTGCTGGTGCGGTTGTTGTTAGTCAGATCAAAATCTCAGAATGTTGCCCTAAGGTTGCAAACAAAAAACGATTGTGTTCAGGATGATGATTGATTCCTGCTGGTGTTGTTAAACTGAGCCGTTATTTATGACACAAAATGATTATTCATATCGCCTGCTTGACTGAATATGTCAACTATATTCAAAGCTGATTCCCTTTAAACAGTGAGTCATAGATTGTGCTAACTGTGTACAATGGTTGGTAATAAACAGTGATGACCTTGATCTCTGGTATTTTATTTCATGCTTTTTTTACATTATAAGTGCTTCAGCCCACCAAACAAAAACAAAGCCTTAACATCTTGGCTAACAATGCTTTTCTGTCTTCAATTCTAAAGGATCTCGATGCAAGTAAACCTCAATAACAAGCACAGAGGAGTTTTAGCTGGCTTTATTTAATATATAGAGTACATTAATAATGATTGATGCCACATTGTTTTAAATCAATTGAAAATGCATGCTATAAATCTGTTAACAGACAGAAAGTGAACGATATTACTTTCATGATTCAGTGCAATATTTTTTAACAATCAAGTTAGACTCCAGGCACGATTTATCAGCCTTCCTAGAGGAGAGCAGTTTTGCTCAAACGTTGGTCTTTCATAGCTCTAGGGATCTCATTGTGTTCTCAGATCTGGAAGCAGGATCAAGTGCCCCACACACCTGTGAAACAGCACTCATTAAAGTATGTATTGCCTCTCGGCTCCCTCCGTGAGGTCATCCAACTCCATTGCTCAATTATGCACAAAGCACCATCTAGAGACAGTCACAGGTCTAGGATGCGGTCTGAGAAACACGGTAGAACAGCAAGTGGCCTCCAATGAGCCTCAGAAGTGGCGAGGTAAAACTTATCGAGAACTGAGGGCAGTCGACTGCAGGTAATTAAGGTTATATACAAACCGTCAGAGGAAGCCAGCACTCTTACTTCAGCAAATTGTCTCACCTGGGCAATGGAGCATTTAACTGCTTCAGAGGGAACCGGCAATGTACAAACCAACCCTTTTGCCCTTCCAGGTGTCATTCCTGTGAGTGCCGGTATGCTCATTAAACTCCTCTTAAAGCACAGCCTGGAGGTGAAACAAACTTGTAAAATATATACAAATTGACACGGCAGAGCTAGGATTATAGGCAGGTGTTTGTCTAAAACATAATTTCCACTTTTCTGAAAAAAACTGATTAAGGAACAGATGTTAAGTGTTTTGCTACTAATTTAACAAGCACAAAACAGATCCCAGCAGGTTTAATAAATTACAAACATTAAATCAAAGTGGAGACATGAACTCAGTTCTTCAGTTATTGTAGGACATTATTTTAATGGAATAGTTCACCAAACAAAATGAAAATTCATCCCCTCATTTTGTTCCAAGCCTAATTTTCCTTCTTCCGTGGCACACAACA